TACACCGCTTGACGCAAAAAGGCCAGAGGTTTCAGTGGAACGACCAGGAGGTAGGCATTCAGAAAGCTCAAAGACATGCTTAAAAGTGCAGAGCCCCCATTTTGGCATACCCTATACCTGGCGGCAAGTTTGTTCTGGAACAGAGGTCAAGGTGCGTGCGGCATCGGTGGCGTCCTTTCCCAGGAAATCGACGGACAGGAAAAAGTCATCGGGTACTACAGCCGGACATTGTCGAAGCCTGAGAGGAATTACTGTGTGACGAGGAGAGAGCTGCTTGCTATCCTTGCTATCCTATGTGGCCAGCATTTTCTGCTGAGGACCGACCACGCTGCTCTCCAATGATTGCTGCAGTTTAAGAATCCGAAAGGTCAACTAGCCCGTTGGATCGAGTTATGACTTCAAAATCGAGCACAGAAAAGGCGGAAAACACGGTAATGCTGATGCCCTGTCTCGTCGGCCATGCAAGGTAGAATGCAGGCATTGTTCAAAGGCTGAGTGTATGGAGAATATCGTTGATGTCCGACTATTGCAGTTTGAGTCGGGTGAAGATTGGTCGACGGAACAACGAGGCGATCCCATTCTGGGCAAAATAATTTCGGCCATAGAAACGGGCAAGCGACCTAGTCGCAAAGAAATTACCTCCGAAAGCCCTCTTTTAAAATCCTATTGGGCCCAGTGGGACAGTCTACTTATAAAAGATGGTTGCCTATATCGCAAATGGGAAAGTGAGGACGGCAAATCTCACCGGAACTTGATCGTCGTCCCAGACTCCAAAATAAGAGATGTCTTGTCGGAGTTTCACGATGGGCCAAGTGGAGGACATCTTGGCATAGCAAAGTGGAGGACATCTTGGCATAGCAAAGACGGCTCTGGGAACCGGTATGTCTTAGTGGTCATGGATTACTTCAGTAAATGGCCAGAGGTTTATGCTATCCCAAATCAAGAAGCCAGGACAATTGTGGATGTGTTCAGCAAAAATTGGATTTGTCGCTATGGTGTTCCATCTGAGGTTCATTCCGATCAAGGTAGGAATTTTGAATCAGCGATCTTCAAGGAAATGTGTGACTCCTACGGAATCAAGAAAACCAGAACGACGCCCCTACATCCACAATCAGATGGCATGGTGGAGAGATTCAATCGCACCCTGGAAGAACATCTACGGAAAGTGGTGGACAGTGGCCAACGAGACTGGGATGAGCATATTCCAAAGTTTTTACTGGCTTATAGATCGGCCATTCATGATTCCACATCCCGGACCCCAGCCAAAGTTCTGTTCGGAAATGAATTAAAGCTACCTGGCGATTTGATATTCGGTGCTACCCCAAACGACGATGTGAACCAAGATGAAGACAGTCAAAACTCTTTTAGAAAAGTCCACGATGCAGTTCGCCATCGAATAAAAATGGTTAGCAACCGCATGAAGGCAAGGTACGATCGAGCGGCAAATACCGATGGGTTTCAAGAAGGGCAACTGGTACTATTGTTCAACCCACAACGAAAGAAAGGACTATGCCCCAAATTGCAAACGCACTGGGAAGGACCCTACAAGATTGTCACGAAAATAAATGACGTCGTTTATCGCATCCAGAGGAGCGACAGTCCCAGGTCGAAGATGAAAGTTGTACATTTGGAGCGGTTGACCCCCTACGGAACGGGAACTGTGCCTATTCGGGACGAACAGGCTTAAGCGGGGGGCAATGTTACGAATATAACTTTAGATTTAAGTTAATTTAGATGAATTCCGTTAATTTAAGAATTTGAATTGTAACGTAAATTTCTACTACGCAGTTTATTTGAATAACTTCACAACAACAACCACTGTATAGATTTTTCTACATCCTTCCATTTCCTCTTTCATTTTCTATTTTGTTATTGTCGTACAATTCTTGTTAAACGTCATTCCTCTTTCTTTGTTATTCCCTCGCCTGTATATGTGCTTTCTTTGTTATTCCCTCGCCTGTATATGTGTTGTTGTTATTCCTCTTTCTTTGTTATTCCCTCGCCTGTATATGTGTTGTTGTTATTGTAAGTTTGTTTACTCAAGTTTGTTGTTGTTATTGTTCACTCAGTAAGTTTGTTGTGTTATTGTTACTCAATGTGTTTGTTGCATTGGTAGATTGTTCGTGATCTAGGTGTTACCAGATCGTCTAGAAACTTCTGTAGCGACAGGCAGGGCTCATATAAATAGAGGGAATGGAAAGGCAGTGAGTCAGTTGTGAATCAGATCGCGAATTGAAACCGTCGTGTAAAGTAAAGTGCAAAGTAAAGTTGTGTGAATAAAGTCATTGTAATAATCGTAATCCGAAAGAACCTGCGTTTTATTTGGTACGAATTGTATCGGGAAATAAAACAACGTCTACACGGGATTAAGCAAAATCCAAGAACGTAACAATATGATAGACCTTTGAAAAATATTTCTTAAAAATCCTCGCTTGTAGCTTTTATAGCCTTTGAAGAAATATTGCTTTGATAGTTCTTGAAGAAATATTCTTTAAAAATCCAGGCCGGACGCTTTGATTGTCCTTGAACAAATATTCTTTAAAAACTCTAATCCATTTTAAAAATCCACGCCTATAGCTTTGATAGCTTTGATGGTCCTTGCAGAAAGCTTTGATAGTCATTAAAGAAAAATACTTATAAAACCCCAATCCATTTTAAAAATCCACGCCTATAGCATTGATAGATTTGATGGTTCTTGAAGAAAGCTTTGATAGTCCTTAAACAAATCCTTTAAAAACTCTAATACAATTTAAACACCCACGCCAATTGGCCTATTAGTCATTGAAAAAAAAATCTGTAAAAATCCATGTGCATAGCTCTGATAGTCCTTGAAAAATATTATTTAAGAATCCAGGCCTATAGCTCTGACAGTTCTTAATAAGATATTCATAAAAAATCCAAATCCACGACTATAGCTCTGATAGAGCTTGAGGAAATATTCTTTAAAAAATCTACATTTATAGTTCTTACAGAATCCAAAAATATATTCTGAAAGGCCTTAAAAATATTCTCAAAAAGCATAACCTGTATTTCTGATATTCCTTCAAAAAAATATTATTTAAAATTTCAGATTTCTAGTTTCGGTAATACTTGGAAAATATTCTTTAAAAATCTGTGATTTCGGAGGTTATGGACATTTAACATATGATTTAGGTAAATTCTACCTTGTCGTATTTTTTCAGTTTCTTTCTCAATTCTTTTATCAGTTCGTACCAACAATTTGTATTGAAAATGCTTTTAATGACGTTTTAAGCAGAACCCATTCATCACACCATTTGGCGTTTATTCCAAAAATAAAATAAAAAACACTTCACAACAACAAACAGAAGTAATTAAAAGTTGCGTAATAAATTCCAACAAAAATGTAAAGCAAAGAAGACAAAGAAATCGCACGTGAATAAAAATACTCACAACAACAACAAGTATGCACATTAAAGTTCGTTAAAATAATTACACTCCGTAAAAATAATTTTGCAAATAACTTCACCGGCATTTTACTTTCACTCAAATGTTTTCTTGTTTTAGTTAAGTTCTTCTTTCATTGCTTCTTCCTGTTCTTTTACTTTTTACTTACCATCGTTATAAATATTCCAAATTCCGGATTCATTTCAATTGTATCGCCATCTGTGAATATAAATGTCTTCTTCTTTTCCTTTTTGGCCGTTAGGACAACGGCAACCTGTTGCGCAGCCACTGACAGGACAGGCAATTCGATGCGATTGAATTCATCGAAACAACCCCATGATCCGGATTGGGCTAAACCTTTATAGATGCGACCCAAGCCTCTGTAATAGAAGACGTGTTGTGAATTAAATGTTCAATGTTCAGTTAAAGGAGAAATGCAATTTTGTAAAAAAAACACTCAGTCACATATGTTGTATCAAATACATAAATACATTATAGACAATATTACAGTTGATTTTGGATAAATGGAACCGTATAAATGCGATCATTTTCCATACACAAAATTTGTAAAATTTAAAATTTTGAATACTACAGACCTTAGTGGCCTCTTATAGAAGACTTTTACTACCATTCCATTTGAAAACTTTCGGGACTTTATAAAACCCTTGTCGCTGATCTATAAAGAAAGACTACAATAAAATGATTCCTATAAACTGCCGGTTGAGAAGACCTATGTGGACTTCTATACTTTAGAAAGTATGTTAAAAATCTCTAAGATGAACGGAAAACTTTGATCTCCAAATATCTACAAACAGTTAGGGCAGCTCTTTACCTATTTCAGTAAATTACAATAATCCGGACTAGACTGCTACTCAATACATTTTAGCTGGGTAACATTAGGCACGTACGCACATTACTCAGAATCACACATACATGCATGTTTCGAGGTGTGTGGTTGTACTTCCACATGTATGTTATTTCTAATTTATATCAATTATGAAATAATTTTACGTTGACAAATTTTTAATGGATAAATTAATTAATACGGAATATAATGACTTTATATAATAAAATTAGGAAACCACCTGACCGGATATAAATTTGCATCTAAAATAAAATTTATTTAATTACATCAACAATTTGCCACCAAACACACTGGCAAAAATTGCTTAATCAAAAAAAAAACCATGGCCCTTAATATTAAAAAGACAATGGACAAATGTTCTTGAAAAATTCGCTACATAACTCTTAAAGTCACCATGGCCCTTAAAAATATTCTTTAAAACAATCCACGCATGATAGATTTAAAAAAAAAACCTGAAAAAAAACTTTGGAAAACATATTTTTTTAAAATCCACGCAGATTGCCCTTTAAAAAAACATCGTTAATTTCGGGACCTTCATTCATGGCGGCGTAAGCCATGGTAAATTTTATGCCCAATTCGGTTAATAACCGTGTCCAAAATTCTTAATAATGCAGGGTACCGTTCGTTTTATGTGTGGGCTATCCTCAAAAGTGGACCGAGTTCTGGTAAGGAAATTTTTTATCCAATGAGAAGTAAAAAAACTAAACTATTGCCAATTTGGTTAAAAAACCTGCTCCAATTCACCAAAATACCGAATAATGGGAGGAGCCGTTACGCGAAACGTGTCAAAAATTCCCAAAATACGGAATATTTGGGGGTACCGTTATATCGGCGTTATACCAAAATGTGGACCAACATATCCGATTTTCAACTTAACATACATTTAAGTAAAATCGGAGAATTCCCAAAATACGGAATATTTGGGGGTACCGTTATATGGGCGTTATACCAAAATGTGGACCAATATATCCGATTTTCAACTTAACATACATTTAAGCTATATCTTAAACCGAATCGATTAAAAATAAGACACGCCATTCTAGACGGTACACTATGTAAAATTTCGTCCTAATCGGACAAACCTTAGAATTTAAAACTGAACTTAAGGCACATTATTCTAGAAAAATCTTAATGGGACAAACATTGTGATTTTGGTGCACTATTGTAAAATCGGACGAAAAATCGGGCTGCATCTTTCAATAGGTTTCGTCCGTTGTACCAATTTTTATCCAATTCAAATCATAAAAGAACATTGGGTAAATCGACTCAGAATTAATTCTATTCATATCCTCAAAAGTCAGGTTGATTTAGAAACATGTTACAAACTTATGTACAAAGACATAATACCCTGTACCACAGGGTATAAAAGCGTTAATGTCTGATGGTTCAGTTCTGGTTCAATCCCCTACTAACATTTGTGGAAATGGCGAACTATGCTGTAGTAGATGTTGAGCTTTTGAAAAAATGCTTAGAAATACCGCCCGAGTTCAATTATGCCCGGCATAAATGTTCATAGATATTCAGCCCGGGTCCAACCCTTTGGTTAACTCATAATCTGCAACATCTTTTTTCGCCACCATAACTATTCGGTTGCACTATTTGTTTGGTTCTGGTTTGGGTGACTTATGATCTGCATCATCTTTTTTCGTACTTCTCATCGATGAGGGGTGTAGCGCCTCAAGTGTGCTTGCTAAGGACAACATCTGTGTCATACTTCAATCGGGCAAAATCGACTATAAATATTAGGTTCGATAGTCTGTTCTGGTTCAATAATCGACTAATATTTTTAGAAATTACGTATAATACTGTCCTGTCATAGTATGAATGTGTTTGGCGCAGTAGCGCCTCAAGTGGGCTTGCTTTTAAACAGCTGGCAGGGTTCTGTAGCTGGATCACCCTGTGTTCTTTGCATGCTTAAAGAATTAAGACATGTTGAGAGCAGATATTGAATACCGGGTTCATCCGACATAAAATACGAATCGTCATCTGCAAAATCTTCCTTCGTAAATTGTGAAAATTGCCGTCCTGTCGTCCATTGATCTGTCCAGTTTTTATGTTATGCTCCCGTCCTTGAGTCAGGGGTCGAACGAAGTTTGGTCTTATTTCGGGTATTCGTCCCGGAGCTACATAGCGAGTGGCTGAAGTAGTGACGATTTTCCGGTAAAACCTCTAAGCTACTAGAGAATTTGAGGGATCAGCTTTTCCATGATTCAGTATGGTATACAAATATTATTAGGGCAGATGTCGAATGACGAGCGGCAAGCGGAGTCGTATGACGAAATGTGACGACTTTCCGTAAATTCCTCTCAGCTATCCGAAGATTTAGGGGGGTTAGTTTGTCCATGATTCAGGAAATTGTGGCGTTCAGATTTTACAAAGGAAAGTTACGTCATTTATAAAACTTGGTGTCACCTTATCCTCGCGGGACACTACATTCACCATGGAAAATTTTTAGTTTTAAATTAGCTCGGCCAACGCTGTACCCAAGTGGAGATCATCCACCCCGATGAGATTTTTTTCTTATGTTTCACTATAGTGAACAGAGTGATATAACAAGTATGTAAGTATCCCATCGCCGAACATCGAAGTCAGCTATTGTTCTTGGTTAGCTTTGTTTCCTGGATCACAATGACCATAATACTTCATCGACCCATAAACTCCACAAATGCGCTTCTTTTGATGTGGTATTAGATGCTACATATATTTATGTATAGGAGACGTCCCATATACCGACGACGATGATGTTCTGGCGCATCATGCCCCTAAATAACTCCAACCGAATCCGGTTTAATCCGGAAAAACTTCGAAAATGCACCCATTTTCATACACACTTCTAAAGGTGTTCGGTGCCTAGATCCGGGTGACGTGGGACTGAATAAAAAAATCAACTCAATGGGTCTGGTAGCCTTCGACAACAATAATATTTTAACTTTCGGACACAATTCAATAAAAGTATTTCCCGAGAGTTGATGATTTTAACAAAACTGAATTCTTCTCACGAACACAATAAAATCTATGTTTAAATTCGTAATATTATGGTATATCTAAAAACTGTACCTAACCCACGCAAATGAAATAAACTAGTATTCTATGGGTTTACAGCTAAACATAACACCATACGTTTTAGAAACCATGCCAATTACCCTTTTTTATTCTTAGAAACCTCAAAATACATTTTTGCATCTATCATTGTTTGTTTTTTTCTATTCCTTCAATTTTATTTATATAAAAACCCCCAAAACAAAAAAATTCTTTCCCCTACCACTTTCCATTAAAATGTATTTCTTTTGTAAAACATATAATTTACTCACCTGTAATCCATTTGATCGGAACAATTAAATACCACCACATACTTGGCCAACGTCTTTCCCATATCTTTAACTGTTTCAGTTTTGCCAGTACCAGCTGGTCCGCATGGAGCGCCACCCATGCTCAAGGTTAATGCCTGGGCCAGTGTTATGTAGCATCTACAGAAGTAGTGGTATCGAGAACGGCAGCAATAGGGGTAGCATCAGGAGTTAAAAACAAGTAAAAAAGAAGACAAAACAAATCGATACATAAGTTTACAAAGGAATTTTTATGGGGAATTTATTGCAGATATTGTATTAAGTAGGAGTAACAGTTAAAGTTAAACTGTAACGAACAATGTTAAAATATTGGAATGTTGGAATGGGGTGTGTAATTGTTTTACTGATAAATTTCTTTTCGATGTGGTTACTATTTGCCAAATGAAGTTTGGGGTTTTGTAATTCGAATTTTTACTTTACAATGTTCAATTTATAATTGAATATAATGATAGGTTAAGCATATTGGTATTTGTACTAATAATTCTTAATTGTTCTAATTAAATTCTGTGTATGAAAAGAAATATTTTTAAAAATATAAGCTGTAAAAACCTGTAAGGAAAATAGAAAAGTGGGAAGGGCCGACTATATGCGCCATTTTAAAACCAGTAAGGAGAGTAGAAAAGTCGGACTGGGCAGTCACCAGTTTGGATATATTGTACATATGTATGCTTACAATTGCATGTCAATGTTCCCTCCAAGGAAATTATGATAAATTTAATTTCATTCGGGCAAATTTAGAGTCGTCTCTGTACCATGGGAAAATTTTATGGAAAACGATTTATAGCAAAACTTATAAACGCTATTCTGTACGGCGCACTGTTAAAAAATCAATTTCAATCAGACTGCTTCTGTACCAATTTCAACAAAACGCAATAATGTCATTCAAGTCTCAATTATATACGTTGCGCAAAATTTCGTGTTAATCGGACAAATATTAGGAGTTAGGTGCGCCATTTAGATAAAATCGGACGAATATATATGTAACTGTGGGAACTATATCGAAATCTGAACCGTAGTACAAAATGAAAAAATTCGCTGTTGCCAACATAAATTTACTGTGAAAAAAATTTATTTCGGGGGGGCCGGGCCCCCAGGGCTCCCCCCCTGCGTACGTCCCTGGCTCTCATATATAATTTCGTGCGATTTTAGGTAAATGGAGCACCAAATTCCCAATATTGGTCCGATTACACAGAGTACTGAATTAGGTCTAGATCAGGGATGGTCCGTGTGACGAATTTTTAGGTTTTCGACTGTCAAAAAGGTGTAAACGTCGAAAACGTCATATACCTGTATAAAATGTAATAAATATAGTAAACGTCATTTATTTCAATATTATCAGCATACACAGTTATTTTCAAGAATATATATTATTTTTACATATATCTGACTATTCCTTACAAGAACTGATAAAAAATTAAAATTTTTTGAGAAGAAAATTTTGAAATTTTATATTAATTTGAATAAAGCATGCGTAATTTCCAAATTGATTAATGGAAATAGCTATTTTGTCAGAAACCAAAATATACCATAATCGACATATAAAGTTTTGTATTGGATTGTTAAATTTTGGATAGCCCCACTTTTAAATAGATCTTTGACATTGACATTCAATTTTCATAAATGTAAGATTGGTCAACTTTTGACCTTTCCTTAAAATAAGGTAACACTTCCCAAAATATCCAGACAATTTTCCAACATATAAAGATCAACTTTGTTAAGCCTATCACTTTAACTGGAATAATTTATTTCAAAATACTGCATCGGTCTTGCCCCATATATGGATCCAACAATGAATCATATATTGGAAGAAGGAAAATTAAAATATACCTTTGAAGAGTTCTCCACTTCGAATCGAAGAACCTACCGAATTAGCACCGCTAACTCCTGACCATCTATTGTGAGAAGCTCCTCTGATTGCATTTCTGAGCATATGACTTACACTTAGGATAGCAGAGACGTCATTAAACGTAACGAAGGAAAATATCCCGGATGAAAAATATCACCGAATTTTTCTTTCTTTGCTCTCAATCCTAATAACCTGTTACCTTTACGTAGAAGTGAGGCAGGCGAAAAATCCTTCTGCTTCAACTTTGCAAAAACCAGCCACCATTATTACTTAAAACAGACAGCTATAATCATCCCGTAACTGCAGTATCAAACCAAATCCAGCCTTGTGAAGCCCAACAACGAAGGAAGAGATCCCTCATGTCAGCTTCTAAACCGTCAACTCTTCAACAACATCCCGATGCATCCCATTAAGTGGCATCAGTCGATAATATATATGAGAGCTATATCTAAAGCTGAGCCGATTTCAAGAAAACTTAACACACGTCATTCTAGTCGTAATTTGATACGTTTTGAAATCTAAATTAGAATCGAATTCAGTAAAACATAATTGTAGGCTTAATCTGGTATGCTGTCAAAATGTCGACTCACTCGGACAAACATTGGGAATTGGATGTACTATTGTGTAATCGGACGAACATACATATATGAGAGATATATAAAAATATCAACCGATTTTAGTAAATTTCAATGGATTTGTCCTTGCCAAATACATAACTACAAATGCATGACTACAGGTCGCATTTACGATCTCATTCGGTTCAGAACTTTAACTGTATTTTACACATATAGGACATTCAATTTCAAGTTTCCCCGTGGAAAAAGATTTTTTAAGGAACACCTGGGCCGCAGTTTTGTGAAAGATCTCAAACCTCTTTAACCCTTTATGCTCCAATAAATTATTGGCAATTTAACAAAATTCTTTATTGTCATTGAAAACAATGTCATTAGTTCTGCCATATTTTTATAAAATAAAACCTTGTATTTCGGGTTCCATGTTAAAAAGAGATAAATAGAGCATACTTTTCGCAACATTTTTTTCTCGGAACTTGAGCCACTAGCTCTCTGCTGACACCTAAAACTATCCTACAAAAATATAGCAACGTAGAAATGTTTAAATTTTAGAGTAAAATAAGTAACATACTTCAATTCCCCTTTTAGAGTTTTAAGATATTTAATTTTGAGTTCCCAGTTAAATAAGCTGTCTCGCCTGTCCCCTAAAAGTATGCATCTATATAGTCAAAAGAAGGCGAAAGAATAACCGAGAATCATTGTAGAATTATGTTTGTCACAGATGTCATGTTCCCAGCTGTTTCGCCTAACCCCTAAAAGTATGCATCATACATGTGTATATATATAAAAGTAAATACCAGAAGGCGAATTAATACCTGATATAAACTTTAAACTTTTCCCCAGCGCATAGGTGCATAAATCGTTATATACAAAGTATAGGAATGTGTATTTCCATCCGAAATTGAAGAACCATATTTTCATTATATCAGTACATTATAAAAGTTTTAGAGCCAATCAGATATAATCTGGATGGACACATTAACTTGAGCTAGCACATAATTTACTTACCGATCAGTTAACGGGGTAATAACCAAACGATCTGTACAGCCCAAATATTCATTCTGATAGGTAAAGGTGACATCTGTAACCGAAATCCATGTTTTATCCAAATCCTCTTTGAAATAGAAGCGGCACTGTTTGAGCCATTCAAAATCATTGGCCGATTTGATGTTCATGCGGCACTAAAAAACCACAAAATGGCAATAGATAAAGGAATCCTTCGAAAAATATAAATACAACTCACCAAAATATCGAAAATATCCCGCTGATGCACATGAATCGTAATCAACGTTTCAAAATTAGTTCTCTCCATTTTCGTCAAATTCCTTGTCGTCTGATCGATCAGCGTATTCAAGATATCCAGAAATTTATTATTGGTCTCTGACATGACTTTCCTCTCTTGCCTGGCCTGCATCAGAGCCATTTCTGCATCACGTGTCCAAATCATTTGTATGCCTAGTAGACCTATTTGGGCTGGGGCCTTATCGAGAAAGGCGAGCAAACTGAAATTTGGATCATTGATGGTGGCATAAGCGGTCCGTATGATCGAATGCAATGACGCCTGCGCTGTGACCAGCAATTGAGTTAGCCATGTCTCGACAGAACCTTCGGCGCGTATTGCCCGATCCAATTGGATCATTTCACCCTCACTCGAGATAATGGCCATCATTTTGTTGTATTCAATGTCGTGGAATTTAATGTGCCGCGTATTATCGAATATGGAGAGTAGGTGATTTTGTATGGTATGCGAATCGGAAGCTTGGCCCAATATTTCCAGTAAGGCTGGATCGGATACAAAGAAAAATCGTGGGAACATCATACGCTTACGTTCCAAATAACCACTAAGAGATTTTTGGCAAATCTCCAACTGTTCTTGAAGATGAGGCAGCAGTTGTTTGAGTAAATCATCACCCACACAACAGGCCACCACGCCAGGGGTTTCATGGGCTCTCTGCATGATTTTTTGCCAAGATTTGTCAATTTTCGAAAAACGCTTTGCCTCCTTGGGTAATTGTTTGGCAATGTCACCACCGACAAATACTGCCTCCAAATAAACCCACATATTCTGCACGAGCAGCCATCTCTCCAAAATTTCATTGGAATTGGAAAGATCGTAGACCCATTGTTGAATTTGTTTACGGAATGGGGCATTATAACGATTGGAGAGCAAGGAACCCAATACCATGAGGCTGTCTTCCAATTGTCCAATGGTTTCTGCTGTTGTGTCACCACGCAGCAAAAGTTCTCCACGATTGTTGAAACTCATAAACTGCAATTCATGCACAGACCATTCATTTGTGACCTGCTTGAGTTTAGCCTCAATATCCTTCTCCTTCATGGCACTAATACAAATATCCTCTATATCTTCCTTGTATTTCAACAAAGGAGCCTCCAAAATATTCTTCAACGAAAATCCTTCCGAATCAAATTCGAATGTGTACTGGGTTACATCCATAATACGTTGCCAATGCCTTGGTTTCATGGCCTTATTGGCCATCAATTCCAGTAGAGGGCACATATCATTAAAATCATCAATGGTCTTTTTCAAAGCATGGAAGGCCGGCCATTCCTTTAAGGCTTTGGGTAATTTACGGCAACGATTTTGAAATTCCATCAATTCATTATTGATTTCCTCAATATCCACTTCATTCCAAGGGATGTCATAATAACTGCTAACCCGATCAATGACATCATTATACAGCTTATATAGCTTTTGCAGTAGATTCAATTCCTTGCGTATCTGCCCCAGTTCAGGGTAATCAGTTTGTGGTAGACCAAACAACTCTTCACCACTTTGATAGGTCTGTAAACGACGCCACATACCCTCAAAACGATTTTGAAACAATATCAAACGATCTGACGCCTCACGTGGTGTCAGACCCGGTTGCATAGGTCCTGCCGTGCGATATTCCAAAACATAATTGATTTTATCCTGTTTGAAATTATCCAAATTAGTTTTTAAATCATCTTGGAAGGAGGGTTGCATTTCCAGCAATTTAACTTGGGCTTGCAGGGCACATGCCAGTAAATTTTGAAAGGTTGATCTTAAGTTATCAACCAAATCGAATTGTTCACGTTCAACTTGTACCTCATAACGGGTCAAAACATTGAATGCTTCCTGTAATGTTCATAATTATTATGTAGCTAAAAGTTGTTGTAATTTTAAATGCCTTACCTCAATTGGATCGATTCGTAGCTCCATATCCACCTCTTGTTCTCTTATCTTACCCAATGTTTCCATAATCATACGCACATCATCCAAATCACGTATTGGACGATCCAATTTACGATCCATTTCGTTGATAACCGCATACACATAGTCCATTTCCTTTTTGTATTTCTTCTTCATTGCCTGACCGATTTTGTGATTGCAAGCTGAAACATACAAGATTAGAAATCACAAAGAATCGCCACAATACATTGAATTTATAATCTGAATGTCCGGTTAAAAAATTTGTGGATTTGTCACCTACGAATACATCTTATTAACATGTTTAGGATAACGATATATATTTATGGTAAACCTTTTTAAGGTGTTCTGAGCAAGGATCGGGTAAAAGTGGAAAAGAAGGATGAAAACATATGCATTTCAATTGCCTTTGAAGACCATATCTATTTGGGGCAGTCTTTTGGTATTTAGTTGACAAAAAAGATGCACAAGGACTCACGAACTTTAGAGCAAAAAGTTCATCGCGGCATAACTCCAAAACTTTTATGACTTTTGTCCCCAAAAGGAAATTTCCACACACAGACCACAGCCTCAATTGTGAGTCTCGGTGTTATTAACGAAGCAACTTGTAAAACCCAAACTTCTTAGTTCAATAAATAAATGATATTTGAAAGTATGTATATAGCATGAACCTATTATCATAATTGTTGGTAGGAAGATTTGATAACCAATCAGAATATTCAAATTGCAACCAATTTAATAGGTACACTTGATAGGAAAATTTTTTAACCAACAGGATATATTCAGTCCTCGAATTGCAGAATCTTGTTTGAAAAATTAGTAGGTATTATGGAAATATACCTAAATTTGTGATAAATTTGAATGAACATTAAATCGACCAATGACTTTTAATGACTCAAACAATGCCGCTTCTATATCAAAGAGGATTTGGATAAAACATGGATTTCGGTTAAAGATGTCACCTTCATCTATCCGAATAAATATTTGGTTTGGGTTGTACAGATCGTTTGGTTATTACCCCGCTAACTGATCTGTAAGTAAATATTGTAAGGTTGCTTGTATATACTGATATACTGAAAATACCGTCCTCAGATTTCGGATGTTGGCATTTTCGTCCGATTTAATGTAAATTGTGCCCCAAAGTCCCTATATATCTTTCGATTTGCACGAAATTTCGCACAGCGTATTGACATAGGTCTAGAATGATGTGTGCTTAGAAACGTGAAAATCGGTTCAGATTTAGATATAGCTCCTATATATATTTTCGTCCGATTAAAGGTAAATGGTGCCAAAGTTCTGTATATCTTCCTTTTTCACCGAAATTCGGCATAGCGTACTGAATTAAGTCGGAAATAATGTCTGCCAAGTTTGGTGAACATCGCTTCAGATTTAAATATAGCTCCCATATATATTTTCGTCCGATTTCATGTAAATGGTGCACCAACGGTCCCATATATATCTTTCGATTTTCAGGAAATTTGGCACAGCGTACTGAATTAGGTCTAGAATGGCGTATATTAGGTTTCGTGAAAATCGGTTCAGATTTGGATATAGCTCCTATATATTTTTCTTTGATTTTAAGTAAGTGGTGAACCCAGGACCCAAATCGGTTTAGATTTAGATATAGCTGCTATATATAGTTTTGTCCGATTTTAAGCCAATGGTGCACAAAAGATCTAATGTTAAGCCAATTTCCACAAAGTTTTGTTGAAATCGGATGAGATTTAGATATAGCTCCCATATATAGTTTCGTCCGATTTTATGTAAATGGTGCTCCAAAAACTGGCGACCCTGTTACACTTGATGAGTTAGCTTCATATCTGCATTTGCAGCTTTCTATTTTTTGAAATAACGTATTTTAATTAAAATCGGATTATGAACTTCTTTGTAGAATATTTCGTTCTTGTAAATCGATTCCTTGTGTGTCCTATTCGTACTTAATTTATTGAACCGGACTCCTAATATCAAAAGATGCAATTTTTCATCCTCGCAATATTCCCCAAAAATGCTCCTCATAAAATTTTAGGTGGGATCCTCAAAGACGAGCAATCGATATTTTAACGTTAGAACCAAATATTTCAGGGAAAAAATAAGCGGATATTCAGACAATAAAACGACATGTTCTAAAAAAACTCTATTGTACTGAAAAATGAAGATGTGAAGCTATCTGTTTAGGTATAACAAGGTCGCCACAAAAAAAAATGATCACACCATATCTCCGAACATGACCTCGATTTTGTCGCACAGTGTAATAAACATATCCCTACATAATGGCCCGATTCATTTTCGGTATTTTTAAAGCTATAGGCACATCTGTAATTAGGCATTCCTAATTCTCGTGCGTTTCTTCCATTGTATGGTCAGTTTAATTAACCCACTAAAGTAGTATTTAAGCTATGTGACTAAATTTCGCACTTACAAACTTACGTTTTGGACATTGAATTGCTCTTGGAAATTTCAGCGATCAAGTTCATTTTTAGTTTAATGGGTTTGTAAATAAGCAAAATTGTCAACTTTAAAGTGAAAATCAGCCAGAATCATTTTAAAAACTACCAATGATTCAGAAAAAGTCACAGTTTGGTGCGGTTAATGGGGTGGTGGCATCATTGTACCCTACTTCTTCAAATATTCTACGAATTGTAGCTGTGATTGGTGAGCGCAACCCCAATGGAGGAGCCTTTGACTATGTAAATCTATAATTAATTTACACTGATATGGAATACATGGGTTCTATCCGAATGCTTTTGGGTGTACATTGCGTCGACATTATTCTGGACAAACCCGAATATTAATTTCATACTTCATAAAAATTAATTTCTCGTTTTATACTCACATTTAATCTCAATGGCTAGACCATATTTCAAACGTTCATTATAGACGGCCAAACAATTTCCGAATACTTCCATATCGGGTTCAATCAACAAATTCGCATCTAAATCGGCTAAACAACGTAAAGTCGTTTCGAATTCTTGTAAACCAAATTCCATTAGCTGACGTGTGGTGCGATCATTTTTCCATAGAAAATGATAGGGTTTCCAACGTTTGATATAGGTTTGTATTTCTGGTTTAATACCCTTCGTGCAATTTGAAAGTAAATTAAAAGCCTTAGCCACTTCCTTGTTATCCATAATGGCCGAATAGAAGGATTTCAGCATATGGGGCATTTGGGGCTTTTGTACCGAGTCCAAAGTATACAGCTTACGACGTTTGGTGTTGTGATTACGCCCAACACGGGGTTGTGGTGTCAGTGAGACTTGCTACAAAGACAATTTCAAATTAATTGCAATTTTAAAATTCTTAAAAAATCTTACCGGTTGCTCTTTGCCACTTGTCCACTGTGCCACACCCTTCGCAATGCCGGTAATAGTTTTACCAGCCGTTATCAAAATCTCCTGCAGTTCCTCTAAATTTGGTTTAATAACCACATTTGGTATTTGTAATTGGGCGTAGAGAGCAAATATCGGCTTCTTGGGCACTGGATCATCATCGTCGGACACAAAACGCCTCCTTATGGTATCCAGAGCAGCACGAATCACCTTGATTAGAACATCAATGACTTTACGACTATAGTAGCGTCGCATTTCAACAACAGCATTGCAAACCATGTCCTGAAAGAAGGAAATGCTTTAGTGTATAAACTGCAAAATATATTTGGTATTTTCTTTTCAAACCTGCATTCCCTTGGGCAAACTTTCTGTGGTGGCCAACAATGTCAATGGATTATCGAAACAAGACCATAGAATACTCCAATCTTGTTGTTGATTACCCGCATTACCGCCACCTCCTCCACCAGCTCCGCCACCAGAACCTCTGGAAGTAGCATTTCCTCCTGCTGCTCCTTCATTTTCACCACCTTTGCGAGAAGAGCTCTGATCTTTTGCACTTGCTGGAATGTTACAATATTTTGTATAGCATTTTCGGAGCTTCCATTAAGGCAAATACTTACCATCAAATAGGGTTACCACATCATCTCCTGCCATCTCTTTAAACTTCTCAGAGGCTTTATCGACCAAATTCAAAACTTCTTCTACAGCTTCCGATACCATTTGACTTTTTCGATTAAGTTCAATTGCCGCTTTCCTATTTGCAAAATAATACATTTTCCAATTTTTCCATTTAAAAATCCTATTTATTCTCACCTGCAGGACTCCTCGCTCTTCTCCAAAAACTCATCAACTGTCCAGATTTCATCATCTAAATTAAAAGGCAATGGGGTTATTATGGAGTGTATAAAACAAAAATAAAAAGGTCAATCAAGAGATGTGTTAAGGAAGTCTTATAAAACGCCGAGGATATGTCAAAACCAGTAAGGAAAGTAGTAAAGTCGGACTGGGCCGATTATATGATACCCTTCACTACAACAATTTCATGTCAATGTTCCCTCGAAAAAACATACTCATGCCTTTCTGCGATCTATGCTAAATTTAATTTCAATCGGACGGATTTAGAATCGTTTGCGTATAATGGGACATATTGAAATCGATTTATAGCAAACTTGATACACACTCAGTTGCAACACTGTCAAAAATATAATCTCAATCACGCTCATATGGTTCGTTGTGCAAAATTGCGTGTCAATCGGCCAAACATAAGGAGTTTGGTGCACCATTTACCAAAAATCGGACTAAAATATATATGTGGGACCTATATCTAAATCTGAACCGATATTCTCGAGACATAACACACTTCATTCTAAACTCAATTCAGAACGTTTTACAACATTTGGTGGAAACATTTATAATCATTTATATTAAATCGGACGAAAAAATATATGTGAGCTATATCAAAATCTTAGCTGATGTTCAGGTTCATCATCATTCTAGACTTAATTTAGTACGCCATGCCAAATTTCGTACAATCGAAAGATATATAGGGGCTTTGGTACACCATTTACATTAAATCGGACAAAAATATATATGGGAGCTATTTAGATATAGCTCCCATATATATATATATATATATATATGGGCGTACTAACCATTTACCTAAAATCGGACGAAAATATATATGGGAGCTATATCTAAATCTGAACCGATTTTCACGAAACTTAACATATGTAATTCTGGGCTCAATTCAGTGCGCTATACCAAATTTCATGCAAATTGAAAGATATATAGGGACTTTGGTGCACTATTTACATAAAATCGGACGAAAATATATATGGGAGCTATATCTAAATCTGAACCGATTTTCTCGAAACTTTGCACATCATTCTGGACCTAATTCAGTACTATATGCCAAACTTCGTACAAATCAAAATATATATACAGACTTTGGTGCACCATTTACATTAAATCGGACGAAAATATATATGGGAGCTATATCTAAATCTGAACCGATTTTCACGAAACTTGACACACATCGTTCCGTACCTAATTCAGTACTCTGAGCCAAATTTCGTGCAAATCGAGAGATATAACGGGACTTTGGTGCCTATATCGAACGAAAATATATATGGGTTCGTCGTTGGGCCAAACAAGTGACTTGTGCCAAATTTCATCCATATCGGATCATAAATGCGACCTGTACTTTGTTTACAATTTAACACCTACAGACGGACAGACGGGCGGACATGCATTAAACGACTCAGAAAGTGATTCTATGCATATTCTCAAGAGGAACCATGTGTCTATCTGCACAAAGACATAATACCACAGTGTGGCGATGTTCTTGAGTAGGCAATATATACAGCGATAGGCCGGTCTGAGTCTGCTCATGGCTCTAATAAACCGCTTACATGAGATGTCTAAGATCCTTCCTTTACATAAGAGCATTAGTTTCCGAGACAATCCACAATTGAGATCAGGATGGTGCAGTTGCCACAATATCTCAACTGCCCAGCCCAATCTACTCACGTAAACCCATCTTAACTATGGTCACAAGCTGTAAGGTGGCAGTCTTTATGAACCTGGAGTAGAATCAATTACTAGAAAAAGAGCACAACCCTTTAGCATATGGTTTAATCAGGGTCGCAATTTGCAACCTTTTTGGTGTCCTCTGAATATGTTTGCAACTTTTCAAACTTTGTGCCACGACATTTCTTCGCTGTTTTTGTTCAAGGGAACGATTTTTTGTGCACCTTTTTAAAAATTCCCAGCGGTAACACTGGGTGTTATTTTCATTCAACGCATTAAACCGGTTCTGAAGCCAACAACAAAACATACATCGATCATGTGCCAAATGTCCCGTTAGAAAACAATATAAGCTGAAATTTACAAATAGTCTTTTCAGTATTAAATAAGCCTTCATCGACTCAAGATGCGTATAAAAAGAACTAAATTGCGTCGTGATGTAACACCTCGACCATCAACGCCATTTTATCCTGTAATGGAAGGCAGATCAGACCTGACTGAAGCTCCTCAGCACCCTACACCTAACAATAATCAAATTAGATTAGACATTGATGATATTGTTGCGAATATTCCACAACTGACAATTACTACGGAAGCTGGATGGGATGGGGAATCACAAATTACAAATCAGCCAAGTGAGAACATTGCATCTCAAGGGAAAATTGCTCCTGAAGCTGTAAGTGCCATTATCAGTAGACCTGAAAGATCACAGTCAGTACCCCCCGAACAACCCAGTCGACGTTACAGTTCAACTCAGCCGAGTGAACTGTCAATTGGAAACCTTCTTGCAGAAACCACGAATCGGAATTCAGATGATGATTTAATTCGTTGGCTGTACTCATTACGTATCCAAAGGCCACGTTATCGACGCCGTCAAACGGTACTTTATTATCCCAATCGTCCGGCAGTGAAGGTGACATTTGTCGATGAAAGTTATGCTCGCTTACAATGTCGGGGTTTAATGGTATACATTCGATTGATCTCGAATGAGGGACATAGCTCGGCAGTAAGATCGACACCCTATAGACCAATGACCTGATACACAGGTTTTGGAACAAAGTGTATCTGTAACAAATGGTTTTTGTTTTTTATTTATTTATGCTAAGAATTGTAATGCATTTATGTTATGTTTGTATGTATGAATAAAAATATTTAAGTACAAAAAATTGTATTCATTTGTCATTATAACTCAGAGATCTGTAATAAAACTATTCCCTCGGGAAGCATAAGTCACTCAACTGAGTACGGCATATAATGTAATGCGCTCTTTCTCTCTTTCTCTCGGTCTGAGTATATTCGAACTGAGTTTTAATAATCGAGATAGACCCATGGTTCCTTTTGAGAATATGCATAGAATCACTTTCTGAGTCGATTTATGCATGTCCGTCTGTCCGTCGGTCCGTCTGTCCGTCCGTCCATGTATTTTTGTTAACAAAGTACAGGTCGCATTTATGATCCGATTTGGATGAAATTTGGCACAGGTCACTTAATTGGCCCAAGGACGAACCCTATTGAAATTGGAGAAAATCGGTCCACGTTTAGGCATAGCTCCCATATAAGGGTACCCCAAAATTTTCGGTATTTTGAGGTTCTTGAGCGCGTTTTTTAACTGAATTCGCTGAAATTTGGTACTTTGAGTTCTTATTGGGAAGTAAATCTCTCTACAAAAATTATAAATAAAGGTCCATTTTTTCGGATAGCCCCCATATAAGATTACCCCCAATTTTCGGTATTTTGGGTGTTTTGGTCGCATTTTCCGACCGAATTCGCTGAAATTTGGTACTTTGTGTTCTTATTGGGTAGCAAATCTCCCTACCAAAAATTATAAATAACGGTCCATTTTTTCGCATAGCCCCCATATATGGGTACCCCCAAATTTTCGGTATTTTGAGGTTCTTGAGCGCGTTTTTAACTGAATTCGCTGAAATTTTGTACATTGAGTTCTTATTGGGTAGCAAATCTCCCTACCAAAAATTATAAATAAAGGTCCATTTTTTCGGATAGCCCCCATATAAGATTACCCCCAATTTTCGGTATTTCGGGGGTTTTGGGCTCGTTTTATAACTGAATTCGCTGAAATTTTGTACATTGGGTTCTTATTGGGTACCAAATTACTCCACTAAAAATTATAAATATAGGTCCAGTTTTTCTGGTAGTACCCATATAACGGTACCCCAAAATTTTTGGTATTTTGGGGGTTCTGATCGGATTTTTCGACCAAAATGACTGTAATTTAGTACGTCGACTTCTTATTAGGTAGCACATCTCTCCACTATAAATTATAAATATTGGTCAATTTTTTCTGGTAGCCCCCAGGTTTTGAGGTTCTTGAACCAAATTCTTTTTTCTGGTACAGGGTATTATGTTTTTGTGCATATGTTTGTAACATGCAAAAATAATTGAGATAGATCCATGGCTCCTTTTGAGAATATGCATAGAATCACGTTTTGAGTCGATTTAAGCACGAAATTTGGCACAGCGTAGCAAATTAGGTCTAGAATGATGTGTGTAAAGTTGCCTGAAAATCGGTTCAGATTTATATATAGCTCCCACATATACTTTCGTCAGATTTAATGTAAATGGTGCACCATAGTCCCTATATATCTTTCGATTTGCACGAAATTTGGCACAGCGTAACAAATTAGGTCTAGAATGATGTGTGTTAAGTTTCCTCAAATCGGTTCAGATTTAGATATAGCTTCTATATCTGACCAAATGAACAATTTAGTATCGGTTGCAGAATGACGTGTTTATGGTTCCAATTTCATTTTACTGGTCCTTTAAAAATGCGACTTCTATTAGGATTCATCTGCTGAATATACTCAAAGTGGTGAAGGGTATCATATAGTCGGCCCCGTCCGACTTTACTACTTTCCTTACTGGTTTTCATTTTTTGACTGAGAACTAATTTAAGGATACCCTTCACCACTTTGGGTATAGTCAACAGACGTCGCATGTTTGGTGAAAAATTAACATGAAATTAAGCATGCCATTCTGTCACAGATTTTTTCTTTTGATCAGATATAGAGTTGTTTCTTGCAATGGAGCAAAGTTATATTGCCCCCATTCTCGATTTTAATTTTTCAAGATTTTCAATGGGCTGGTAAATGAATACCAATGCTTGTTAAGGTTTGTAACTTTGCACATACAGTGGCTCCATCGCATAATCGGACAAAAGTTTTTCTAATATAAATGTATTCTGAACATTAAAAAAAGAGTTAAACATATATATTTTTTTCTATTGGTAGTTTTCATTATATTAAGGTTCTGTTTACTGACGAAAGCAAATTTAAGTTGCACGGATCAGATGGAAAGATGTATGTGTGGCGTCAGCCAAATGCT